TAAAAAAAAATTTGGCTGCAAAGGTGCGTCAGAATCATAAATCATCCAGTCATGCGACAACATCAACCGTGACAAAGCATATGAACTCTGCACGGACTGGATGGGCACTGCCGCGTCTGCTACTTAAACAGTAGAATGGACCAAAAACTCGCTTTCAGCCTCAAAACGTTAGATCAGCTACGAATTACGGAATAAACTTCTAAACTCAGAACTCATTGTAGCGGAATAAGGCTCGTGAAACATGGGCCAAAGCATCGGTACTTTTTAATCACCTAACAAGTGATCACATTGTTTGCACTGGGTAAAAATAAACCATGTTTTAATGCTGCTCTCAGCAAATCTGTGCTTAAAAGAAGGTCTGTCGACTTGAGGTTGCACTAACAAGTTAGCAGGATATAGTAAATTCAAAGTTGATAGTGCGTGAAGAAAATACACCATGTATTGCTACATTATGCAATGCAATCTCTCCGTGGCTCGTTGTTTAGCCGATATGCGACCAACAGACACGATGCCTTTCAGTCAACGACTTCAGCAATGCATCGAATACCCACATAACAACGGTACTTGTCTAAGCGTTGTTCTTTAGAAAATAGCAGTCTTACCTATTTGAGACCGCTTCAATTCTCCTCGTTTAGCAAATGAATGACACGCAGAAGGCGGCTGCTGCCTGTCTGATCGTTGCAACGCTGTTCTGTGCCATGGCCCTCGCGTGGGGGGTCGTCAACTGCCTCGCGTGCTGTTGTCGCAGCTGCCTGACATCGCCACTGCCGATCCTGACAGGGGTCGCACTGATCATGGATATAATCGGCATGACGATTCTGATCAAAGAAAACGACAACACATGGCGCCAGTTTTTGAACGGCGTCGAGAACCACAGTTTTGGCATTTCGTTATGGATCTGCGTCGCTTCCGTCGGAGTAATGTTCTTTAACATGGTAACCGGAATCCTGCTGGTCGCCACCAGCAAATTCTGTCTGTGCTAAGTCGATCGAGCGGACGTCCGAGGCTCAGCGACGCTTGCTGCTTGTGCGATAAAAGAAAAAAGTTCGTGGCCCTTTCTTTGAAGTAATTAAAACTAAGTACTCTACATTACTTTATGGACTTACCCGTTGACGGCATTTTCAAAACGTCTATGTTATGATAGACGCCCTCGTCATCTGGTCTCGCTATGATCGTCAGATCCATGAAGAAAGTTTTGAGAACACTTCGATCTTGCTAATGTTAACGTTGCTTATGTACATGTTTGTGCTAGCTTCTGTATATCGCTTTGAATTCGATAATTGTTTAAAACAAAATTTTAAGGTATTAGAAATTGAGGTTCTTGGAAATTTTTTATTACCACTTCGCTAGAGGAAACGTTCTTGAGAAAGCAACCTATAAGCAGACTTTCGTGACGATTCATATTCAGATGCACTTCAGTTAGATAAAAGTATCTGAAACACGAGGAAAAGATAGTAAGTAACA